CCCCAAAACCCCAAAACCCCAAAACCCCAAAACCCCATAAAACTAAATACTTATTGAAATATTTTAAAATGGCAAGATTGATATCTCTCATTGTCTGACTTTGATTGCTCATTCCTTGAGTTGAAGACCCCTCTTGGGTTCTTCCTCATAAGCTAATACAGAAACAAAAATCTGAGTTTGAAACAGAAATAGATGACATTATTTCAAGAGTTTTCGAGCTGCAACTAAGATTCAATTTTCCGAGTTGTGGAGAACTTGTCAGTCAGAGAGTTTCACACGGAATCCCTACTGTGCAAGAAGTTGTCGATAGGACAAAAATTCAACACATCTCAAATGAAGTAAATGTTCACCAATACAAGTGAAAGAACAGCAATATTATTGTTCTTAAGATCGATTTATTTCATGGCTATCTGTCAGAAACAACTGAAGTAAGATTCCTCATATTCAATCTTGATCATTTCGAACATCTCGATAATGACTGCTTCTTGTTTATGCCTTTTATGACTTACAATAAAGCGATATGAAAGTATAATTTCACCAATCCAGAATATCTGGCCATTTCTGGTATAAATTCCAAGCAATATCTTACCCTAGATCTTGAGACAGGAGAGTACTCAATCAGTGTGCTTTCTGTAATGATTGTGTGTCTCCTGGAATGCCTAATGTTCTGCTACTACATTTACTTCTGAGAAATAAGTGACAACAGATATGACTTCACATCAATCCACAGCCAAGTAAACAACACTTTCATGGGTTACTTGCTGTGATATTTAAGCTACCAAAAATTTGCACTTGCCATTGCTATTGAGCTAAAGGGATGGTACTCTTCAGTATTAATGATCTGTGTTACTTATGCAATCTTCATAGCAGAGTGTGTGTATGAGTTAATCCCTCACAAACTTTATTTTTCTTACCTAGATGCACAATCTTATCAGTTTAAGAGAGAAAATTGGCAAATTTTTGTTAAGGTTTCTGCACTCATTGTGACTGCATTTACGTATGGAGCAAGTTCATTCTATTTGATGAAGCTTAAGACTTCTAGTGAAGTTGTGGTAGTTATAATGAACTTACACCTTGCTGTATTTGGAGGTGTTAATGCATACAAAAAGACCAGAATTAAATTGAGCGTCACTTACATTGTATTTTTAACTTTCTACTGAGCTTGGATCATCAACTTCTCCTTTGTTGTTTCAGGATGATTGGTGGAAAACTCAGATTACATTTGGTTTTTCTCCAAAATTGGTGTCATTCATTTTGCAGTGGGAACATTCCTCTACTTTCAAGGCATACACGGATCTAGGTTCTTCATACCCAACAAGTTCAGATCTATCAAGATGCTTCGCCACATCAAAGACTTGCCGATCAGCCAACTAACAGAGGACCCTCTGAGTTGCTTTTACTGATGAAGCAGTCTGCATTTGCCATCATCAGTGAGCAAAGGAGACTACCTGAACTGCAACATTCGGTCTGAAGTGAAAGAGTTCGTGTGGCAGCAAGGCCCAGTATACATTGAACAAGAGAACTGCAGCCACAAGTATCATTTTGAGTGAGCGAGAGAGATTTTTGATAAAAGAATCTATCCATGAAATATTTGACATTCTCTCCACTTTCCTAATTCATTTGAGTTTGATGATTAAGTATCTTGATACGATCATTTCGTTTCCATCAGAGTCTAGAAATATTTTCAATCTCAAATACAATCATTGGGGTTTTGGGGTTTTGGGGTTTTGGGG